ATTTTGGGCCAGCGAGATAGCTCAGCGGTCTACAGCGCCTGCTTAGGCAAGCATAGGCAGCTGCAGTGGACCATGGTTCAATCCCTGTCACCACATGCCCTGCCAGCCCTGCCCTAAGGGTGGGCTGAGCCAGTCAAAATAAATAAATAAACAAACAAACAAACAAATAAAGTCATTCCCTTTTTATACTTGATAAAACTTCTCACAAAATATTGTCTGGACTTGATACAGGTCAACATCCTTGTCTTGTTCCTGATCTTGTAGGGACTGCCAAATAAGCAGTGGGACCTTATTTCATGAAATCATTAGTTTGCAAACAATTTGGTTCACAAACAGAAGCATTTGGCAAAATTTTATTCTTCTTTGGGAACTCTGTATCAGATGACAAACATGAACGTGACCTTGTCTTCCAGAATTAAGTTTATAAAAACCAAATTGCCACTATATTATATGCTTTATATTTCTGGGTCCACAAGTTTGTATCCTTGTAAATATTCTTTTTTGTTTTTAATGTAGTTGGTCCAGGGTTTCACTACCCAGCTCAACCTCATAGTGGTCCTCCTGTTTTCAACCTCCCCAGCACAGGGGTTATAAGGTGTACCACCACAGCTGGTCTCAGCAGCCGGCTCAGCATGCCAGGGGATGGGGAATGGGCGTGGCATGTGGTGCCTGGGGTTGAACCCTGGTCCTTGGGCTTGCCTAAGCAGGCACTTAGTCTGCTGATCTATCTCACCTGCACTCCTTGTAAATATTCATGAGCTTTGTCCTAGCATCATGACTTGGTAATGATTCGAACACTTACTCTGAATATTTGTTGGGCAGCACCAAGGCAGTGCTCATGCCTAGTTAAGTGCTCCTCACTGCTGTAGCAAGACTTCATAGTTCTCTACCCAGTGCTCAAGAAAATGTGACTGGGGGGAGCAGGTACTGTCGAACTCTCAGTGGTTCAGCAGCCTGATGCTGCTCCTTTGCCCACGCTAGTGCTTTTCTGGCTTACAGTTTCCTTAAACATTCCCCAAACTGTGTTCTCTCAAGTCTTTACAGGGTTGGTCTACCTGCTGATCTCAGGGCCTCTACGCTGTTCTCCAGTCTCTGCCCCAAGATACAGGAGATAGCTCAGCAGCAGACGTGACTGTCTGACAAGGGCAAGGTCCTGAGTGTGATCCCTGGTGCCGCAGTCTCTAATGTAAAGACTGCTTTTATATTTTTGAAAAGTTAAACAAGCACATAGTAGACTGTGGTAGCACACTCCCATAACCTCAGATTTCCAGAAGGCTCAGGCAGGGACACTGTAAGTTTGAGCCGAGCCTGGACAACATGGTGACTTAGAAAGACCCTGTCTAAAAAATGAAATAGAGTGCCAGCCAAACAACTCAGGAGATTAAAGCACTTGCAAGCAGGCACAGGGGCTGGGTGTTCGATCCCAGGGCCTGCCATGCCAGCCCTGCCCCCAGGGCATGCTGAGATGGCAACTGAGTCTGGGCATGGTGGCACACACCTGTAATCCCAGCTCTTGGGAGGCTGTAAACAGGCAGATCACTACGAGTCCGATCTAGTGGTGAGACCTGAACACCTGGTGGACCCTTCCCTAAAATACAATAAATAAATAAATAATAAATAATAAATAAATGCATTAGGGACGCAGCTCAGTACAAATATGCAGTTTATTGTCTTTGTTGCTATTGTTTTATACAGGGTCTTGCTACACAGCTGACTCATAGTGATGCTCCTGTCTCAGCCTCCCTAGTGCTGGGATTACAGGTGTACACCACCACACCTCGTTCTGGGGCCAGCAGGGCATGCGGTACTGGGGATCACACTTGGGACTTTGCACTTGCTAGGCTGACGCTTATGCCACTAAGCCATCGCTCCAGTCCAAATGGGCAAGTTGAATCCAAAATAATTATGGATTATAATGGACTACAATATATAAAATAGTTATTATTTCCTGGTAACAAAAAAGGTTTTTTTTCAAATACTAGTTTAAGAGAGAGAAAGAACAAGAAGGTCTTTCCCTCACGGGGCTGCTGCACTAGCAGGAAGGGTACATAAGCAGTGCATGGAGGAAATGCCTATGCGGTCCATCAGATGGCGGATAGCAAAGGGCAGTAAGGAAGAGCGTTGGGCTGCCAGAAGTGGTGTGTGTGGGCTCCCAGCTCATGGGCTAAAAGGGGGTGGCAACCTTAGGAGTGAAGGTATAGGAACTTCTGAGTATCTTTTTTAAATGATAAAGGCCACAAAAACACTTGTTAAGAAGAGACAGTCATTTGGGTGGTGGTGAAGGTAAGGATAGAGAAACCTCAGCCTTGGGGTTCCTACTTCCCTGCTGCTTGCAGTAAAGCATTCACTAGGGACACAGGTTATCTGGGTGGCAATATGCAGAGCTTTGGACCCCTGTGGATAGCAGTGTGTTCAGAGCAGGAGAGCTCCGTCCCAGCAGGCCTTGCGAGGTTTACTAAAAAATAGTAGCGAAAGGGAGCTGGAGGAAGCAAGCAGCAGTGACCAAGGTTCTAAGGCAGGACATTTCTTGCTATGGATAATGCCATCAGAAGAGACCATGACAGGCATAACAGCTGGGAATATAGCTCAGTGGCTCAAGTGCCTGCCTGGCATGCAGAAGTCTTGAGTTTGATTCCTGAGACCACTCCCACAACCTTCCCCTAAAAAAGACATGCACAACATTAGAAGTTAAATAATTCTGTTATAAGCAACAAAGTTATTGCCATTGTCAGCACCATAAAAGAAGCGTCTTACTAAACTGAATCGGTATTTACTGATACTGTGTTTTAGTAAATGATTTTTGAGCCCCTCCTATGCACGGAGTCTTGTTTGAGAACTAAAAATACAGCTGTGTCAAAAAAATACAAACAAGATTCAAGAGCTCAGAGTGAAATTACATTTGAATATTTGTGGATGGTTTTTGTATATTTGACCAGCACTGTGTGCCAGTTGGGAGGCTTCACTTAGGGTGTTGGGGGTGTCGTGAGGTCAGGCTCTTCTGCTGGCTGATGAGAGATGAAAGAAGCCAGCCATTCCACCAGTGAGCGAGGAAGAGCCCTGAGGCACTCATGAGCTGTGTGGCAGGGACTTTGACGCTGTGGCAGTTTCTCCTCAGGCATTTTGTCAGAGAGCTCTATTGATCTAGGGATGAGAAGAGACCTCCCTCCTGGTTTTTGCTGCTACTGTCGGGACTAAAAAGGTATAAGGGAGAGAAATGTCCAGACAGCTGCCTGAGAGTCACAGCCCGTAGGTGGCGTACCTGCTTTGTCCATAGTGGCATACTATGTGTGCCTGCATTGATGCATTCATTACAGAACAAGAAGGCAATAGTACTACTGGTGCTCTTCCACGTTGCAGCAGTGGCTGGCATTTAGTAAGAGCACACATGCACCAAGGATCTGACATGCAGTAATAATTTAGACCTCAAAAGAATCCTGTGTAGGGGAATACAAACCTCATTTTCCACATGAGGAAGCTGAGGTAAATAAAACCGTTGCCCAATTCAGGGAGCCAGTATGTGTTCAAAATTGGTAATATGACTTCAGAAGCTACATAATCTTATAATGAATGTACTGCTCCCACTCCTTTGTCAAGAAACAATACATAAAGATGGGATGCATTCCAAATATTTCGTGTCATTTCAAAAGGTACTTTGAATCTCTTATTAAATTGTTTTCCAGATTCTGCTTTCACTACCCTTATTGTCTGCACAAACTCTACTAGTATGATTCTGAGAGACTTAGTTTTTTGGGATAAGATTCCTTTTCCTTCCTTCGAATTATGTCTTTATTTAAGCTCTTTTTGGTCCTTCTGGCTATTGGAGAAGTGTCCAGTCATGTTCCTTCCACATGCACATTCTCCTCAGCTCAGCTTAGCGCAGCTCAGCTCAGGTGACCCCACAGTTCCCCTAGTCCTCCAGCACCTTTTGGTTCTTGTTCTTGTCATTACTGGCACAGACCTGAGGTTTATGCTGTATATAGCAGTCATTTTTGAGGAGAGAACAGACTTCATGGTATCCACTTTACCAGAGAGCTTGCTTTGGCATGCACATTTAGTGGTACTTGTTCTATTAAATTCATTGCCTAAATAATAGACCATAAATTTCACAATGCTGATAATTGTGTGCATTCTGTTTCTTATAAGCAACCCTTGCTTTTATGAGTATGTTCTTAGTGTAATGGAAATTATTTTATAAACTGATTATATTAGGCTGGGGTTTGAAGATTATATATGCAGTTAAATTACGAAATAAGATTTCACTGCATAATAATAGTAAGCAACTCTACATACTCTAACATCACACAGAAAATTCAAGACAGATTTAAACAAAGGAAAGATGGTTATTTATTTATTTTGAATACTAGGAAGCCAAGTATATATGTTCTAAAAAGTAGAATATTTCCCAATATGCTTTCTGGGCTGGGGATATAGCTCAGTGATCTAATCACCTGCCTGGGACGTGCAAGGACCCGTGTTCAATCTCCAGTACTGCATGCCATGTGGGCCCTGGAGCTCCTGGTACGCCATGCCAGTCATTGAACCCTAGCGTGGTGGCACATGCCTGTAATCCCTATATCCTAATCTCATGACTCACACATGTCATGAACATAAGCATTCAAACTTGGTGACATAACTTCAGAACCTATATAATGTTATAATGAATGAATTACTCTCTTTTTTAAATACATAATTTGTAAAGGTAGAATACATTCCAAGAGTTCAATTTCATTTTAATGGGTAGTTTGAAACTCTTACTAAATTGTTTTCCAAATTCCAAGTTATTTATGATGATGTATACATAAAAATACTATATGAGAGAAAGAATAAAACTTTAAAATTTCTTTATATTTAAATTGTGTAACTAATATACAATTTCTTTCATAAAATTTATTCACTAATCTTACTCAAGAGGTTTTACATGTTCACCTATATACATGCCTCAGAGCGCTGGGAAAAAATGATCAAAATATAACACATCCAGATATAGAAAAGAGCCTTACCCTTAAAGAAGACAAAATTTCCATCACTGTTTTCATACACTGCATCGATACTGGGAGGCAGTCCCCGCCAGAAGTAAGCAATGTGCATGGGGTATCCGTCCATCACCCTGTTGTTTCTTACTCGCCAGAACCACTGATCCTGGAAATGGAGCAAAATCGTCAGTCAAAAGACATGTGGACGCCACACCAGCTGTGACTGGACAGTTTCAGAGCTAAGCTAGCCTCGTCCTACAGCCAAACAGAGCAAGGGCTTAACAGCCTCGCAGTAATCATCACGCAATGTTCTGAAATGAACAACTCCCCAGTCTTCAAGCCATACAGAGTGGTTAAAAACGTAACGTCAAAGTACTTGATCTGGTCATATTAAATTATCCCCAAGGCTTTCTGTCTGGAAAATAGAAGTAGCACAAACAAGTCCTTCCAGAACGAGGATGCAAATGAGCTTCCTGAAAAAGAGAAAAGCAGCGTGGCTCCTGGGCATCCTACCGGGCATCCTCACACTTCTGCACACGTGACATCTCCACACCTAAAATGTTGGGGACTGCCTAGGGAACAAGTGCCGCTGCTGTGCCCAGGTCGCACCTGTGTTCACGTGTAATTATAAACCTAGCACATTTGGAGTCATTCAGTGGGTCCTACTTCACTCAACAATGACTATCTAAATGATCAAATTCATCTTTAAAAACGAATTATTGCCGAAGATTTTTGTTGTGGTGAAATGCCTCAGCTATCTTCTAACATGATAGACTTTATATCTCTCAATCATTCTATGGGTTACCTATAGATGCTTATTTTTAAAGAGAAACATATGATTTAGTCTATTGTGTTTATAAAGTTGCTGAATTATTAATTTGCCTACCAATGATGTATTTCAAAAAAATATTAATGGAATAAAAGCAAGCAATCAACAAAGCAAACAAACAACAATAGGAAAAAAAAGCACAGGACCTTAAAAAATACCAAAAATATCACTTATGACATTGGGTATTTTCCTATTAAATATTTCAGAATAAACTAAGATCTATTCAAAGTGCTTTAATGTTGGAATGCAAGGTAAATTTAAAATCCAATATATCAGGCTTGCAGATAGCTTGGAGGACTAAAACACCTGATTAAGCAGAGTACAGGGGCTGGGGTGCCCTGCCAGCCCACCCCTGGGGTGCGCTGTGATGGAGACTGAGACTGGATGTGGTGGTGTGCACCTGTAATCCTAGTGCTTGGGAGGCTGAAAACAGGAGGACCACTATGAGTCCTGTCTACATAGTGAGACCCTGTAGATCTTGTACTAGATATATAAAATAAAATAAAATACAATACATCAAATTTTATTTCATTTTTTAAACTTCACTTCAAATTTATGTACATACAAACTCATATAACCATTAATTATTTCTACTAGACAAGCATGACTTATTAACCCGTCAGTTTAAATTCTTTGTCCTCTTTCTTTCTCTGTTCTTCTAAAACAGAGGTCAATAAATGATGAATTGGAGTTTTCCCATGTTTATGAGTAAGGAAAGGTTGGCTTGACTGAACTTCCTAGGGTTCCTCAATTACACACACACACACACACACACACACACACACACACACACAATGCACCGATGATTTGTAGATTTCAGGTAATATGGTAAAAGTAAAGTTTGCCTTTAAAAAGTCTACCAGTTATCATGGATTGTCTAGTGATCCCTGTTATGTAGATAGGAAGAGGTAGCTTAATTGAGAGCTCTGTGTTCATGTTCCCGTCTTGGTCTGTTCCACAATATCTGTGTCACCTTGGTCAAGAGACTCGCCCCTGAGTTAATTGGAAACTCACATTTACCTCCTGTCATGATCGCCACTGTACTAAACATAATGAGCTTTTGTGGGTGGGGAAACTAGTAGCACTTATGTTTGGGTTTTCATTTCTTTAGTATTATGGTGAAATTACCCAAACCACATTTTATGTTTGTGTTTCTGTTCAAGGTTTTAGCTCTTACATTGTTTACTTTTCAGAATCCAGTCATGTAGCTCTTTCCCTCCAAGATCTCATGTTATCAACTTTTTCTTATAATTATCCTTCTACTTGGCAGGTTAAATTAATAAAGATTTTATCAATATGTAGTAGAAAAATTGAACGGATTTTAAAATGCAAAGTTACTGAATTTTGCAAAGAAAAAAAAAGATTATGGTCGGGGGAAATACATGTGGGTGTATAGATCAGAGACTTACTGGTAAAGAATGTAAGAAAATGATAATTTAATTATTTAAAGAAAAACACCCTACTTTTTTGTCTAAAGTAAGTAATTTGCATAAAGTATCCATCTATCACCCTGTTGTTTCTCTCTCGAAAAACCACTGATCCTGGAAGGGAGCATTAGGGGCTTGTAATTAGATATACGATGGTGCCAATCACCAAATAAAATATATTTGTTAAATTATTTTAGTGTGTCTATGAAACAATAAATTAAAATGACTAAGAACCTACTAGATTTTTATAAATAAACAATGTGTATTCTTTTTGGAAGAATTAAAGAGAACCTCTTCTAGAAGTCTATGATATTATCCTTGAAGCATGTAGGAAAAATACCTCTGTTTTCATCCTTACCAAACACTGTAAGTTTTGTTTTGACTTTAGCTGATAAGAAAGGAAAAGGAACAACCTCTGTGGAGTTGAAAATCTGCTATTTTAGTGTTGCAAAAGGAGGAGAAAAGCTACAGTAAATGAAATAATAGCAATAACAAAATAATAATAACATCCACTACTAGCACATCCACAAAGTAAGCTTATGAAAATAAAACATGGTTTGATAACAACCAAACTTGGTGAATTTGTGCTCAAATACAAATATTTAACTTAAGATAAAAGTATTTATGGTCTTACATATCAACTTATCTTTTTGTGTAGCATGGGACCTGTGAAAACCATTTTGTGTTTTCTTAGAGATAAGCCCTCTCAGTATTTTACTGCATCCGCAATGAGCCAGTAACAGAGTGGAGAAATTTAAATCACCTCCCTTCTACTCTCTTTAAAATTCCAACTTACAGCAGGCATGGTGTTCACTGAGAGCTAGATAAAAAACTAAAGTGTCTTTGACATTTGAAGATGAAGTTATAATGTCATTGATATATCATTGCAGAGGATGCTGTTTTCTGGACAAGTGAAAATAATAATTAGAACTAATCTACTTTCACTTCTCTTGGATCCACAGGGTCATTATGTGACTCATAACTTGTCTCAAACCAGTTCCTAGGTGTCAAAATTCATTTTCAGACCCTACCCTAACTGGCCACTCTTGTCTTGACCTAACCTTCTCATTTCTGAAATAGCATCCCATAACTCATCGCTAACATTATTCTCTGAGCTGCCGTGCTATCTCAAGGTCTCTGAGTGGCCTCTTACTCATCAAGAATGAAATTCAAAGCTGGGCCTGGTCTGCACTCCCACTGGGTTCCTCGCATCCTCCACACGCACTTGTATCCCAGTTACAGTAGTTTTCTTATGGCTTCTGGACAGACTGAATCTCTTCTTCACATAATTTGCTCTACTTTGAATGTTTAATGTTCCTTCCCTTTCTCACAATTTCCTCCTTTTAATCTCGACTGGAAAATTAGCCCTAAATTCAAATGCTGAAATCCTAACCTGTAAAGGAGGAGGTGTTGTGAAGGGGCATTATTTTTTCATGAGGATGCAGCCTCCATGAATCTAGTTAGTGGCCTTACAAAGGAAGTTTCAGAGCGATCCCTTCCTCCTCCCCCTGTAAAAGAACACCGCCGGAGGCAGCTATCTATGAGAAAGTGGGCCCTCATCAGACACAGAACTGTGAGGAGTACGTATCTGCTGTTTATAGATCGCTTTGTTTACGACATTTTGTTACAGCAGCCTACAGAAACTAAGATACACTGCGAGACTCTTTCTTGGTATTTCTATGTTCTCTTCCTAGCCCTTGTGGAGTTGGTGTGTGTGTCTATAAATCCATGTGTGCCTCAATGATGTCCTTCTGCTTCATCACTCTATGTGCCACACCAGAAAAGGGACAGCATGTTTCTGTTTATCACTAAATTGTCAACATTGAGGTATTGAGAACTGTCCCTGGATTTTATAGGAAACAAACATGCACTTAACGGAGAGCTCTTTCTATATTTTCAGCAAAGCACCACAGGATGAATAACACTATATTTGAGATTCCTCAAGCCTAGGTAACTGCTTAGTGTGGATAACAAACTGATTTACTTAGGGTGACATAATAATAAAAGGTTTTCCCTGGCTGCGAAGAAAATAAGTTACATACATACATACTGACTGTGATCACAAGCAATCCTGAGTTGTTTCTGAGGGATGATCATGTGCCAAGGAGACATAAGATATGCACCAATGGGGAAAGAAAGAAAATTGTACAGCCAGGCAGGCATATGGGGAAAGCAACTGCATGACTGCTTAAAAGGTAAAGGAAGGTCTTTGGGAGCAGAGAGAGAGAGATGTGTGCAGCATGCCCTAGACGCTCTGTCCAGCAGGAAGCCCCTGGGAGCCAGACCCAGAGGAGCTAGACCTAGGGAGGCAGGGGGGCAAGAGCAGCTGTGGAGATCTAGGCAGGAGGGCAGAGTGTCTTTGTATTTTCTTGGTATAGTTTCTTCATTTGACCACATTCTACATTCATTTGAAAGTTGAAAACTGAACATTGGGGTTGCATAAAAAAATTTACTATAATTTAATTAAATTCCACATTAAATTATTGTTTTTGGGCTCCCTGACTATATAGAGAATTATAAAAAGCACTACAGCATTTTTAAAAAAAGAAAACAAAGCTATTCACATTAAATTAGGTGTACATTTTTCCACATAGGAAAAGAAAAAATAAGATTATAACTTAAAAAAAACCACTACTGATGCTTAATAAGGTGTATCCAGTAAAGACGGTGTCATTCTGGGAAACTATCCTCACCTTACCACAGCAGATGGCACAAGTCACATTTTGGTATATAACATAAACATTAGGAAGAAACATGCTCAAAGCAACCATTAGGATATATTTTTTTCATGAAGACTGTCATGAATATCTGCAAAGATTTTGCAAGAACGACTTTCAAGGCTCATTAATCCAAGACGGTCCTAAAGTGATTCTGAGAGAAATGATGCAGAAATGCATCTCAGTAGGTCAA